CACACACACACACACACACACACACACACACACACACACACACACACTGAATCAGTGGCACATTCAAGAAGAGAAACCAGGTAGAAACTAGGACCTTAGAGCTAGAAGGGAATTAAGAAATCATTTAGCCCACCACCCACCCACCCATTTTACTGAGGGGAAAAGTAAGGTCCAGAAAGGATGCAGCGCAACAGAAAGAGTGCTGGATTTGGAAAGAGGCTTTAGGTTCAAATCCAGCTTTGTCACTCGTGACATATGTGAGCTTAGGCAGCCCCTTTCCTCTCTCTGGGCCTCAGTTTCCTCATCTGTAAAACAAGGAGGTTGACTCACTGGTCTCTAAGTCACTGTACAGCTACAGTCTTAATTAACGGGTCTTGACCTTAGGGTACACGCCTTGTCCAGTCATCCTGCTCCTCAGCAGAAGAGCCCCGAAAGGAAACCACACCTCCTGATGCCCAGTCCAGAGTGTTTGCACTGCCCCTCGTGGCTTCCAGTAACTCCACTATCTTGTTTCCTCGTGGTGATCCGCTCCCCATTTCACCGTTCCTGCTCTAGACAGAATCAGGGGGAGGGCAGTGAGAATCCATCAATTCATTCTCCATGACTCTCCCAGTGTGTGAATCTAGGTCAGCCTGTTTTCACTCAGAGAAAGCAATGAGCGTCTGGTCCTCTGAACAAAGTTTCCAATCTGGTGTGTGACCTTGGGCAAGTCCCAGTACACCTCCTTGGGCCTTGCTTTGTCCATCTGTCGAATGGGGAGGGAGGAGTGGGCTAGCAGATTCAGGTAGTTCCTTTCAAGCACTTTCATGCCACACACTGGCTCTCTGTGTCTGTCTCCTTGGGTGAAGAACTCAGACCTCTGAGAAAGGGCTTAGGTAGGTGATGGCTTTGGTCCATCCTTTACACTCAGGGTCCTCCTCCTTTGGCCAGGGTGAGTAGTTTCCCTTCATTTCCCCAGCGAGGGCAGTGTCTTCCTTCCTGAGTCCATTCAAGGTGAGCTACCCTTCAAAGCTATTCCAATCCACAGAAAAGCTTTGAAGCCATTGCGACCGGGAAATGAAGGCAGCTCAGGGCGGTTTGTGGTTGGGTCTGGCTCCAGGGATACTCCCTTCTCCTCCCCACTTCTCCCTTCTCCACTCCCATTTCTCCCTTCTCCAATCTGAATCCCCTGGCCCCCCCGCAGACATGGAATGTCCACCTCCGCCCTCCTCCCTTCCAACAGATGGACACTCAGCCTCTAGCTTTCCCGGAGGCTGCTGTACTGAAGTTCCGTGTTGAAAACTTCCTTGTAGAGTGGGGGGAAGAGACGAGCTGTTTCTGGGTGCAGGAGGCGGAAACATTCCAGCTTGTCCAGGTGGAGGCGGCAAATAGCTTTCAACAGGGGCAACTTGGAGATTAGCTACACAGGAATAAAATTGAAAGTGGTCAGGATGGATTAGGGGTAAACCCAAACCCTCCATTCCTGGGTCAGCTAGGTGAAGCGGAGACTAGAACCCTCCTGAGTTCAAATCCTACCTCAGACATTTATTAGCTAACTGACCCTTGGCAAGGGCATGATTTCATTTAACCTCTGTCTGCCTCAGTTTCCTCAACTGTGAAATAGGGTTAATAACAGCACCTACCTCCCAGGGTTGTTGTGAGGATCAAATGAGATGATATTTGTAAAGCACTTAGCACAGTGCCTGGCACATAGTAGGCATTTAATAAATGCTTATTCCCTCCCTTCCCTTCTAGTTGGTAGTTGTCAGGTCAGTCATACCTATAGCACATCCCAATACACACAGACACACAGACACACACACAGCCACACACACACACACACACACACACACACACAGACTTTACACAACTTTTTCCTAATGACAGCAATTCTACGAGGTGTGCAAGGCAAGGGTCACTATTCCCATTTCATCGATGAGAAAACTGCAGCTTACATTGGGGAAGGGACTGGCCCATGGCCACACAACCAGAGCCAGAGCCGTTAAAACCCAGGTCTCCTTCGTAGAGGTCCTGTCTACCTCCTCACATGCCTGTGATTTCCACTCCCTCAATCACCATGTACTGAAAGTCCCCTGCAGTCACGCAAACAAAGGGATACATGAGGCTTCAGCCAATATCTATTTAACACCTACTGTATACTGTTCACCACCTACTGTGCTAATACAAAAACTTATTGATTGAAAAATTTCCCGATTAAAAATAATCCAGGGTTTTAGAATTCGGAAAGCGGGGTTTGAATCCAAAGGTCCACTACACTTTCTAGTATGACCCTGAGAAAGTAGCTTCACTCTCTGGTACTTAGCACAATGCTTGACACTTAGTAGGTGCTTAATAAATACTTGTTGATTTAACTCTCTGAGCCTTGGGTTCTTTATCTGTAAAATGGGGTGAGTAACACCAGCCCTATCTACCTCACTGGGCACTTGTTATGGAAATCATTCCATATGTTACGCAGTTGGGCCATTAATTCTTCCAATTATCTTGAAGCATTATTAAGTGAATGGTAATAAAGAAGACAAAATTTCTGCCCTTAGGAGCTTACAGTCTAGCAATGGGGTATGAAGCATGTGATAGAAAATAATGCCTCATAAGTGCATAGCAGAGGTGAAGGTTGAAACTGGACCAGGAGATGAGGTTTATTTCTGGTTGGGGCCATCAGGAGAAGTATCCTAGAGGAGGAGGGATTTGAGCTGAGCCTTGAAGGATAGGCAGGATTTCAACAGGAGGAAATATCAGGATGGGGGGATAGTGGGCAGAAGAGGGTGGCATTCCAGCCATGAAGAGGTTATTTGGTATTGGGCTGGTGAATTGGACACCATTGCTGAGCCTGGGTTTGGCACATCCTCAGCACAGACCTGCTGATGACCAGCCAGCACCTTTGGGTGGCAGGAAGGGGCCCACGGTTACGTTGGGTTCATGACCCCACGTGGGTCTGCCCCCATGGCTACACGCCCCCTTGCCCCAACAGCTCTACCTTGGATAGCCTGTCCTCTGGAGAAGGCTGCTTCTGGACCTCATGCTGCAAAGCGAGGAAAATCTGGTCCTGGAGACTCTGCACCTTCTTTGCCTCAAGGAGCCAGGGTCGGTCTGCCAGGTGCGGGAGGAATGAACCCCAGGGCAAGCAGGAGAAAATAGATTATTAGGAGCTTCTAAGGGTTGGAAGACGAGAAACCTGGGTTCTGGTACCTGCTCTGGTACTGACTCAATACATGATGTTGGGCATATCTCTGGGCCTCTGTGGGCCTCAGTTTCCCCATTTGTAAAATGAGAAGGTTGGGTTTGACCAACCTTCTTTGAGTCCTGGACTCCTTTGGCAGTTTGGTGAAGCCTCTGGACTCCTTGGAAGAATAAATGTTTTTAAATGCCTTAAATACAGGGGATTATAAAGGAGATCAAATATAGTTATCAAATTATTTTTTAAAAGCAAGTTCATGGACCCCAAGTTAAGAAGTCTTGAATGAAATGGTCTGAAGTCCCTTCCAGCTCTAAGATTTTGGGCACTGAACAGTTGAAAGAACTTGGAATACTGAATTTGGAGTCGTAGGACCTGAGTTCAAATCTATGTTCTACCATTTATTATCTTTCTGACTTTGAGAAAGTCATATCCTCTCTCCGGGTCTCAGTTTCCTTATCTGCAAAATGAGGGGGCAGCTAGGTGGCGCAGTGGATAGAGCACCAGCCCTGGATTCAGCAGGACCTGAGTTCAAATCCGACCTCAGACACTTGACACTTACTAGCTGAGTGACCCTGGGCAAGTCACTTAACCCCATTGCCTAGCCAAGAAAAAAAAAAGTTATCTAGTCTGTAAAATGAAGAATTTGGATTAGATGGCCTCAGAGGTCCCATCTGACTCTAGAAATAAAGCCTGAAATCTTATGATCTTAATAGAGTCATAACACCCCAAATGGGGAGGAAGTAAGTCTTGTCACTGTCAAGCCCTAGTTTGACCCCATGTAGGGTGTTCCGAGCGGTTCTGCATTCAGCATTTTAGGAAGGACCCTGAAGAACTGGAGTGTGTGCAGACGAGAAAGAACAAAGTAGAAAGGTGGAAAGCTTGTGAGGGGAAGATCATGGAGAGGACATGGAGATGGGTAGCTGGGAGAAGGTGAGCCTTCAGGGTGACGGGATGACTGCCTTCAGGAGTTTGAAGGGCCAGCTCTTCCTGGTCTCAGTGGAAAGAACGGGGAGCAGAGAGGGGAAGACACAGAGGGGCAGGTTTTAGCTCTTCACATAGAAAAATGTCTAACAAAATGAAAGTGAGTGGGCTGGATAATGATTTGTTGAGAATATTGCAGAAGGGAATTCTGTTCAGGTTGGAGCAGATGGCAGCTGAGGTTTCTCCAAGCTCAGAAACTCCATGATTCTGATTCTATTTTCCAAGGCTCCCAGTTTTATCAGTCCATGTTCTAAGGGCCTTTCTAGTTCTGATATTCTCTGTTCTAAGGGCCCTCCCAGCTCTGACATTCTGTGTTCTAAGGGTCCTTCCAGTTCTAACATCCTGTGTTCTAAGGGCCCTCCCCACTCTGACACTCTGTGTTCTAAGGGCCCTTCCAGTTCTGACATTCTGTGTTCTAAGGGTCCTCCCAAT